ATTATATATATATATATATATATATATATATATATATATATATATATATATATATATATATATATATATATATATATATATATACCCCGGGGAATTGCCAAAACAAAAAGGAGCTTACATACATGACATATATGTCCATAGGCTACCTATATACAGCTATAAAAATTAAAATTTGGTATACCCATCTTACTGTTCACGCTTGGAATGTGCACTTAAAATTAACTATGACAACCTTAATTGAATGATCTATCATGCAGGATAGTGTATCTTCTAGATATGTTTTGTAGAAGGAAATTTCGTGCACCGGAATCGCAGAGGTTCGATTCGTGCCAGAGGGCCTATAGTTGCATTTTTTGCAACTGCTTCTATAGTTGTAGGTCTACTGATAAACGTATAAAATTCACACTCGAAATTTCCATCTGCAAAACCCTTGTGCAATTCAGTATATCGAGTGCAGATGCCCAAAATCCTGATATCTTATAGATAACAAACAGTTTTCAACGCCAATGCATGCATTGCATCAACAAGATAATTATGCTTATAGATAACAATCAGTTTTCAACGCCAATGCATGCATCAACAAGATAATTATGCAATTTACAATTAGTCTTCGCCGCAGGCTCCATGAATTACAATTGGTAATTCGCAGGCCAATTTGGAATCAACTTATTTGATAAATTGTCTCATAATATGTATAGTGTTAAGCAATGAACTCATGCCGCACACATTGACATCTTTGTAATTAAGTACGCACGTGATAGTGGTGGATCGCACGTGACAGCGGTGACAGCTGTGACGTTTCTCTGTAAAATATCATGGAAAAATTCGATAGTTTTTTTCGAAAGCCTTAACATTTCGGAATCATCTTTGCAGAATATAAAAAAGAAAACAACTTGATACAAACACCAGTCTATACATTCGACATTCGTAATACCATACCTGTTCTATACGTATACATCACTGTTATTACGCCTTCCTTGCATTGAAAACACTCAAATTTCAAGAAAAACGCGCTCGAATTATCAATATGTCATGCAAAAAAAAGTTGTTTTGAGAAACGTTGGAATTTTTGAAGTTCATATATATTAATAAAAATATGTCAGTAGATGGCCGACAGTTCCTCGCGGAAGCATCGCCAATAGCCGACCGTAGAAAATAGTAGAAAATTACCTTATGTGTACTATATTATAGAACAAAATATTGATAACTCTGTGTGACGTTTCTAAGGGGGGTGGGGAGGGGGTCTCCAGAGAAACGAACATATGACGTTTCTCATGGACAAAATCGATATGTGAGGCTTCCCTTATGGAATATGCATTTGACATACTTTTCGAGAGTGATTTTCAATATGAATATTAAAAAGAACTTCACGCAATCTCAAATAGCAAACCGCTATTAAACGCTTGTTTATTTTGTTGCGGTACTCATGAAAATACACTTTCAGCATGCAGCCGTCTACATGCAACTGCTGTTCGAGTTTAATTTTTTATGACGCACTTGTAGGAAACGACTTTCTACTACACAATCTGCTTTCAGTAGAACTGACATTCCTATCAATACATTATACATATATTCAGCTCAGTTGAGTGTTGTTCATTTATTTGCGAATACTCATGAACCGGTTTCTCGTATAATGTGTATTCTTAAGTAAATTATTTGAACCAGAGTCAGTGTCAGTGATTCTTAGCAACAAGGGGCGAACAAAACGCAACAATTGCGAATTTTACATTGAGTAATCCGCCGAACTATTTGCCGAACTATACGACGTATGTTGCCTAGTTGTTTTACTACAACATATTTCTTATTTAGTCTGCTTGTCTCTCTACAGGATTCAAGATTCAACCAGGACGTTGATAAACAGACTGGTTATCGAACCAAGAGCCTGTTGTGTACACCAATCAAAAATAGCGATGGCGAGGTATGGAGATATCTTTGTAATATTAGCTAATAGCTGTGCTTGGTTCGATAGTCATCCCCTTTGTTAGTGTGCACATGCAGGAAACTAAAACTTAACTATTGTTTTTAAGCTCTATACTGTCAATGTGGTTCATTGTAGTTTGGTATAGTTTCATTGCACTCAAGGAAATTTAGGAAGTATGTATTCCAGCAGCCATGCAGCAGAATATTTTCACGCATTTTAAAGCATGCAAATACGATATATGACCATAAAGTATGACGTAATCTACTGTTTCACCTAAAGCGGAGACTTGACCAGAAACAGTTTTAAATTTTACACTTTTAGTACAATGGCAAAAACTATGAACTGCCGTTATAAACAAAGTCAAAAACAAAGACGGAGAAAATCAAATTGAAATTTGGATACGATGTCAGTGGAATACCCGTACTAGATTAAGCATTGCTTAAGTTCGCTGTATCCAGTACGCGGAGAAAATAAAGCCCCAGAGGCTGAAAAATTTAAACATTTCCGGGGGTAAACCCCCAGAGTCCCCTACAAAGTCATACTTTTCCAGTTTACTGCCTCCTAGTTACACCACGAGCAGTCCCTCGGGAGAAAGGAGGGACTGCCGACAACACATCAAGAAACGAAATACGCGTTGCCCACACAACGCAAAATTCCCATTGGTCGAAATCGATGTGCCTGTCAATCAAATCTGATATGTTGTAATTATGCTATAAATAATTTCCAGATTGAATGTTGATTTTATAAATAAACATGACATTAGCGGTTCCTATTGGATAGATTTAATTGAATATAAGTAATGTTTATGCAAAGGCGGAGCCAACTTCACAAGAGCGAAAAGTGGGCGTATTTCGTTTTTTGATGTGTTGTCGGCAGTCACTCCTTTCCCCTCGCACGCCCGGGAAGCTAAAACCGTGGAAAGGAGGGACCGCTCGCAGTCTACCACCTAGTTAATTCCATTTTTTTATGGCTTTTCCACTGACAACTATTCTTGAAAAAGGCCATGCTTAGCTGGTCTCGACAGTTTACTAGACCTTATGGTGCTTCATGCAGTCATTTGAGCATCAGAAATATAAACATTTTCTCAGGTCCCCTCCCTCGCCCCCTATTTTTTTCAAAAGACACTTATGTGCTGGGGCGGTGAAACAAGGATGGTTTATAATAGCTTTATTGGCATGACCCTAAATTACAGATGAAAGTGGTAATGAAAGTGATGAAGGAATGAAAGTGGTGCGAGCCAAGCCCCCTGAAAGAGATTAGACTGGGAGATTATTCTTCCCTGTTTCAAATGCAAAGTGATTGATTATATATTGAATATACATGATTCCCCTTACATGGTTTTGGATGGTTTTCCCTCCAGAACGCAGGAAATGCTGTTTAAGAGATTTCTAGATCTGAACTTAAAAAACTGGGGAAACATGTCCACGGAATCGATCGACGCGAATTTGTCGAATAATCTGCCACATATGCCAATTAATTTATTTAAAAAAGAACACTGTAGTACACGTTCTTAGTGCATGCGGATGGGCTAATTTGCATGACTATGTATTGAGCGGCTATAAAACTTAAATTCCATTAGATTCCAAATGTATAAATATTTATCAAATAAAAGTAAATATTTCCCCTGCTAATATCCTGTCTTAATCTCTTCTCTTGTAAGGTTGTTGGTGTGGCTCAACTCATTAACAAAAATCCCGATGCTTCCGCGTTTACCAACGAAGATCAAGAGGTAATTAATATTATCAGGTTGATTCTCGTGTCCCGAATTCTCCAGAAATATGATTAAATTTATAACAGAAATGTTTTTAGGAGATTTACGAGATTAGTATCCAAGCCAGTCTTCATGTATAAATTATACAGTCATAATTTAAAGTTTCCTGTAACCTTACTAGGCGATGTTTGGGCGCTTTCCATTTAATGGCCTGACCGGTCAGACCTGAATGTTTGTCTCTGTATCAATGGAAAGGTCTGGTCTATGTTTCTCAAATATCTAGCGAAAATGGACCTCATTCTAATTGTCCTGAATTCTCGCCTCCCTGAGAAGTATCCAGGGCAAATCACGATAACAAAATAATAATAACTTTATAATAACTTTATAATAATAATAAAATACAAATCTCTCTCACTGATTTCTCACTGTTCCTCTCTCGCTGGTTAGTCTCGCATGCTTGTTAATCACGTGACTCATCACAAAATATGTCAATGTTCGTCTTGGCTTCGTAAAGCTCCGTAATGAGCCCAGTTCGCTACACACTCTCCCATGTATACTCTGAGAGTTTACATGTCACAATACGAACTGGGTAACTAAGTAAATTTATGAATGATATAAATGTTTATTACGAACTAATTAATTGTCTTTCGATAAGTGTTCACATAGTAAGTCTCTGCAATCTTTAATTAAAGTTCCTTTTCATCCTCTGCAATGTCTCTTATGCGTAACGTAGCTGCTGCTGCAGCATTTCGCTTCTGTCTGGGTGTGAACTCTTGTGCATCTGGATCTAGACGAGTGGCAATCTCTTTATCGCATTGTAACTCTAACGGGAACAAGTGTTGTATCGCGCGTTCCAGGTAGTTATTACCACCAGCAGTTTTAAGCTTAGCTGCCCGTATTACACCGTCTCTGCCCGTGATGAGTTGCTTAACTATGGCAAGTTTCCAGGTATTTCTTGGTTTTTGATCTTCCTTTACTTCCAACTTTGGGATGTTGCATTGATCGAAGTCTAGTCATTCGGTGTTGCTCACGAAGACCACGCACATATTCTCCGATAATTCTGCCTCTACACTCCAGAATTCCGAGGTTGTTCTCCTGTAGGTTTAATCGCTCTCGGTCGGCTAAATATCGTGCATCGTGTTTGACTGCGTCTTGGGCCCGTCGTATCCACCATTCTCGTTGTTGTTGAACCTCGCGACTGTTGATGGGATCTCTCTCTTTCTCTCTCTCTGCAGGTTGTCGTTTACAATTCAGAATGAACCGTCGAACCCACGCTCCAATTCGTAGCACTTTCGGTAAAGGATATTTATCAAGTAGTAGATCCATGATGTCTTCTTCAATGTACGCAGCTTTGAAGATTTCTTTAATCACTTTCGCTTCTGATTTGCTATCTGGTGTCGGTTCCAGAACTCGTTGAACTGGCCATTCTGCAGGATTGTTTAACCATGATGGACCCTCTTTCCATAATGTGTTCCCAGAGACCTTTCCTCCCCGACTTCCGATGTCGGCTGGGTTTTCCGCCGTTGGAACGTGATGCCAAGTAACATTCTCGTGCTGACGAATCTTTTGTACTCTGTTTGCCACAAATTGTCGGTATTCACCTTGATCATTGATCCAGTACAGAGCTACGGATGAATCGAGCCAATAATGAACAGTTGCTGGATGAGTAGTGAGAGCTTGTTGAACATTTGTGGCTAGATTTACAGTCATGTGTCCCGATATGAGCTCAAGACGTGGAATGGTCAAGTTTCGCTTCGCTATTCGTGACTTCGAACATACCAATCCCTGGGTAACTCCATCCTCTTGTTTGACTACTGCATAGACGACTGCACAAACGCCGTTTGAGCTCGCGTCTCCGAATCCATGCAAGGTGATCTCTTGAATTGGTTGATGGTATGAGGCTAAGGACCGAGGGATTGTATAGGACTCGAGCGCTTCGTTCCATTCCTTCCATTTCTTTCGTAGTGGCCCTGGTAGGTCTGCGTCCCATGGAATTTTACTGTCGCACGCACTCCGATAAACAAGTTTTCCGGTCAGTGTGGTTGGTGAAGCCAAGCCCAGGGGGTCGTAGATTCGTGCCAATTTTGACAAGATGCTTCTCTTAGTTACAGGTTCAGCGTCTGTGGTGAGGGTCACGCTAATAGTATCATGCTTCCTATCCCAGGGCACACCAAGTAGTTTCCCATCGGGCTGTTCGATCCCTGCCAGTTGACTTTTGGCATATGTTAGTTCACTTATCTCTGATGGCGATTGATTCTTTGGCTCGAGTTCAGGTACGTTTGAGTGCCACTTGTGTATTGTGAAAGTGGCATCGTCGAACACTTCGATAGTTTTCTTCTTCTGGGTCTGGATTTCTGCGACTGTGGTACCCCCCGTAATCAAATCATCAACATACAGTCCTTCGCGTAATTGCTTCACTATCTCGGGATAGCGATCTTCCCAAGCATCCAGATGGTGTTTAAGGACTCCCCCGAGAAAGAATGGGGAGCAAGTCAGCCCAAACAGGGCTCGAAAAACCGGTAGATTTGTATTGCATCGTTCCCAGTCTCTTTCCAGTGAAATCGCAATGAATCTCGATCTTCGGCCTTTATTCTGATTTGCAAAAAGGCCTGTTTCAAATCGCCTGTTAACAGAATGGGGTAAAATCTAGATCTAACAAGGACGTCCCATAACAGGTTCTGCAGAGGGGGGCCCGGGTGGAGGCAATCATTGAGGGATGGTTGGGATCCGCTCTCTTTCGCAGACGCATCATACACCACTCTCAACTTAGTGGTCTCAGCTTGCTTCCTTTCTATGCCTTTGTGGGGAATATAAAATTCTTTTGCTGTTTTAGTGGTAGGTGCCAGCTCAATTACTCCCTGATTTAACTGTTGTTGTATAATGTCATTATACTGTTTGTACTGTCCGTTCCGTTCAAGTTTCTTAAGCAACTGCTCTAGGCGACGCTTGCTACTGTTCTCATAAGTTGGCAGTGGGGGGTGATTCCCTTTCCATGTTAATGATGTCTCATACCAGCCCGCTTGATCTCTACTAAGCTGCTCTTCAAATTCCTCATACACAATTTTCTGGTAATTTTCATTTCTGTCCGGAAGTCCGAGGACATCTAATGCACATAACTGCTCATAATCTATAGTAGTGGATTGAGTTAACAGGATGGGACCCTCCTCCTTCCCTGGAGACATCACCGTCCAACCAAGGAGGGTTTTCTCTGCCACCGGCTGCCCCGGCTTCCCCACCTTTTGAGCCGTAGTAGTTTTAATTTTGGCATAATCACTAGCCCCAAGCACAAGGTGTACAGGTATTTGTGTACGGGTGTCAGGATCTTCGAATTTTGCACTGTTCAAATGTTTGTATCTCTCTAACAGGTGGGCATAATTTGGGTTGTTGAGTTTCATTAGCTCAGGTTTATCAACTTTTGACATTTCAATTTCAAGCTCAAATTTCTGATCTAGGGATTTTATGCTGGCTGCATAAATTTCTACTCTGGTGGTGGTGGATCCTAACATCATTTCAATTCGTTTTGTTTTGACAGCTTTAGGTTTTCTCTTCAATGCATTGGTTAGACTACTGGAAGCATAGGAGCTTCCTGCTCCAGTATCGAGCAGTGCATGTGTCTTAATCCCGTCTACTTCAACCATCACCACTGGATAAATAACTTCACTATCCCCCCCGGTATGAGCTGTTTTCGCTATCTCATGCTCGTCTGCTTTGGGTGCATCACAAATTGACGTATGATGACGTTTATTGCAAAATCGACACTTCGAGACACTCTTACACTCAGCTGCCCTATGAGAGGGCCCTGTGCAGTTAAAGCACAGATGTTTTGTAGCTATAAACTTTTTCCTGTCCTCGAA